TAGATACATGAATAAACAGCCAGAAAAAAAGAAACATCTCTGATTTCAGAGATGAACTGTTTATGCTATCTTAGGGTGACTAAACGTCCTCTTGGCCACTAGGATGTAAAGGAAAACTAAAGATAAAAAGGATCTCATTGTCAGGCTGAGTCCGGATTTTGTCCTGGTTTTATATATCAAATTATTATCACCCTATGCTGTCTTCCAAACTAAACTCGAACAATTAGGAAGAAGAAGAAGAAGAAGAAGAAGAACAACAACAACAACAACAACTTTATTTATCCCTGAAGGAAAATTCAAGTGTCTCTAGTCTATATGTCATGTCTCAAAACGTCACCTACTATTTACAGAAGAGTTGTAAAGTCTACTGGCTGTGGGTACAAAAGATCTCTTGAATCTTTCTGTCCTAGTGAAGTGAGAGGAGCCGTCCACCACCATTGGCCCTTTGGTCCATTAAGGTGTTATGAAGTGGGTGATCCATGTTCTTGAGAATAGCCTCCACCTTCCTCAGGGAGTCCAACTTGATACCAACCACAGAGCCAGCTTTGTGGTAGGAAAACAAAGATCTTCACCTCAGAGTCAACACACAGAAGTAGAGTGTGCCTGAAGTATTCCCAGCAGAGATTATATAGGAGGTGTAATTTGCTCATCTCTGCAGTTACTCTTGTCAAACAGAGTTAAAAACAAAGCTGTCGCTGAAGTGCTAATGACCGCATTTCCCTGAATGTTCACTTACCTGAGACCATAAATGCAAAGTAGATGAGTAGGTAAGAGAGATGTACAGAGAGAGAAAAGTGCGGCTGGATTTGAAAGAAACCAAAAGAAAGAATGTGAGCAGAAACTATGAGAGAAGTTTGAGGTTGATGGAGAGGATAAGGAGCAGAAAAGTCTGAGGTGAGCTCTGAAAAGAGAGATGAACATACTGAGACATGTGATAACCCTTACCCTGTGATTCCACTGACTTATGGGAACTCAGGGGCCGCTCTTTTCTTTTTACTGGCCCATTTAGCCAAAGCCCAGAAACCTAATTATGTTTGAAAAGCTGTTAATGTCTCCTATTACACCGCGGGCATCGATGTCATTCAGCTCATTCCTCTGACACCTTGTGAACATCAGCTGTTGCTCTGTAACACCGGTGACTATCACCGCACTTATGAGGCAGAAATGTTCCTTCGCCTTCTGTTCGGAGGAGGGGGAGGACCGAGAGTTTGATGAATGAGAGGTGATTATACAGTTATTCTGTGAGTCTGCAGCGACATGAGAGTGCAGAAAAGGATGTCAGTTGACTATTTGTCAGACAGGGCTGATAAGCACATGGCTGTCAGGGTAGCCAGACACTTAAACAGGTTGCTCAGTGATTAATAGGAAATGAATATTCTGTTTTAAACACCGTGGCAGAATATATCCACATTTGCATTTAAAGAGCAAAATGAGCAGCTCTGAGCTTTTTGTTCATTCCTAAAAGGAGTAATTCACCTAAAAAAACGTTCTGGTTCATTACTTTAGCAGATAACTGATGTTCCCTGAGCCAGGAAGGTTGTATAACAGATAAATTACATCTTCTGAAGCTTAATATCCCTAAATTGTGCAGGATGTGCATTCAGTCCATTGAATGTACAATTGGGCTTAGCCACCCTGACGTCACCCCTCAGTCAAAACGGTAGTTTTCTGAGGTGAGTAAAAGGCAGCCCTATTTAGAGAAGAGGGTCAGACTGGAGAGAAGTGGGGGATAGCAAAAGCTTTACCATCAAAATGGAGTAAAGCCTGTGAGCTATTTCAGGCATGCAACTTGAGCTGCAATTATTCCACACCTCCCAAAATCACACAACAAATACACTCCCAACTCAGGACGAAGGATGACATAGCCTACTTAAATTTTTCAACGGTTTGCCAAGACAGGTTATGCAGCTTCAGCACATGAGGCTGGGTTTCTCTAATTGGATGAGTTGCATTGACATGCATCACAGAGGGAGCTTGGGGCCCAGTTCATATGTACCCGGTTATTTTAAAAAACAGACATTGTCTATTGTTTGCAACCTTACTTTTGACGCAAAGTGAGAATTTGCTTCTGAAGACGATGCTTTTTAAAAGGTCCAGCCAGAATGGAGATTTTGGAAAACTCTGTTTGCATGTAAACAAAGAAAAACTGAGATTTGGGTCGCTGACAGCGGATTGTGCTTAGGAAAGAAGGAAGTGATGTTGTTGTTGTCACTGCTATGTGGGATTCTGATTGGCTAACGTGAGCTTGAGCTTCTCGCTACACTGCCACCTACAGGTTTGGCATGCTCTTGACGGCATACACACACAAATTAGTGTAAACAAAATCGTAGAGAGTGCACGCATTTTTTTTTTTTTTTTTTTAAACAGAGGGTGAAATGTCAATTTATGAAAATAGCCAGACATGTGTAAACATTGTCTTAATCTGTCAATAAGATGCACTATTACCTCTTCCAGCTGATCATCTGTATGTGGACTGATGATTTTCATCAGGATGAAAGTGAAGGGTGCTGCTCTGTGCAGCAGAGGGCTAGAAGGCAAGAGCAAATCAGAAGAAAATGAAAACTTTATGGGCATGTTTGTGCAGGAATAGCATTAAGACAGGGCTGAAAGATTCTCATTTATGGGGCATTATAAGCCAGCGTAATTCATTCTTCATCCATTTACCACTAAAGCAGCTAACAGGCAAGAGAAGTATTAAAACTATTAAATCACTAGAATTTTGCTCAGCACAAAATCTTGAGCACAGACTTTGTGAATGACTTGTTAGTGAAACCAATCATACAGTAAATCACCTGATTGAGTCAATTATTTGATTAAAAAAAACAAAAAAAAACAACAGCAAAAAACAGTGATTGTGCAAACATGGCTCAGCCTGAAGTTCGGCAGCTCAGTTGTCTTTGTTGGGCCTAGTTAAAGTTTGTGTGATACACCTGTCACTCTTGCCACTCTGCTCTGTAAATTGAAGACTTATCAAAATTAACAGATCTATCAGTGACACTGATTTCTGAACACAGCTTTTATTATTTCTTCTGTTTGAAAAGAGGCCGTCTGCAGATGGTCAACTGCAGGCATGACTTTCAACAAATGCACCTCTCAACTAGGCTTTCCGCGGTATACCATATACACCGTCATCGCGGTGAAATAAAGTCACGGTGGTGTCGTAATTCCAATATTATGTAGCGCCGCCGGCGCGTAAAGCGCATGTTACGCCTCAACACAAGCGCACTTGCCATAATAAAGATATCACTTCACGTTCACATTAACATTAGTGGTCAGTCTGGGCTTTAGTAAGACAGCAGCAGCAAAATATTGAACCATTTCCTACCTGTCTGATGCTGCGGAGTGCTGGAAAAAACACAATCGTATATTCCATTAGTTCTGGGCAGGCTGCCATGCCCATGATGATGATGCGCTGCCCCCTCCGTAAATGGTTCAGTCCAACAATCAAGCACCCCCCAGGAAAGGTACATTTGGTATCAAACACACCTAAGGCGACGCCCCGCCATATCCACATGATCCATTACAGGAAGCGTGCACAAAGCATGGCATGATGATGGCAGACTCCTCCGAACCAGAGGCAGAGATAATATGCTCGAGCCCGGGCCCAGTTGGCCCGCAGCCCCCTCCTTCACCGGTTAGACAAGACACACCACACAGACAGACACACATTTTGCTTAAATAAAGCAATGTTTTCTTTTGAGGATGATCCTTGTGTGTTTTGGTTGTCATTTCATAGCCCCTAGTGAAGTTTTTTTTTTTTTATATATATATATCGTCACCGTGAAATACCGCGGTGTATGGTACTGTCACCGTCACCGTACCGTACTGCAAAATCTCAAACCGTGGAAAGCCTACTCTCAACATGCTGCCAGTGTTTCAAAAAAATAAAATCTTTGGCCAATTTTCCCTCCTCCTTCCCTCTCTCTCTGTCTGTTTTTCCACCTTCATCTTTCCACCCCTCTGCAGTTGATTCTGTAGCAGAATTTCACTTTATTTTTTATTTTGTTTCATTCTGCAGTCCAGGTACTGTTCTGCCTCTGATCAATAATAAATCAAACGACTTGGAGAAAAAAAGGAAAAAAAAAACATACTCAGCTTGCAGAACAACAGGTCCAATACACACACACACACACAGACACACAGACACACAGACACACACACACACACACACACAGACAGACAGACACACGCACGCACACACACACACACACACACACACACACACACACACACACACACACACACACACACAAAACGAAATTTGAAGCGTTTTGTTTTTTGTCATAAACACATTTGATCCTTAGAGCTGCATTCATACCTCAGTGTCGATCCAAACAGGTAAAAAGTTAAATAAAATCAGTCTGGTGTTTAATTTGATTTACAGGATTATTCACTGGATGCAAAAGCTTTATAATCATGTCTCCCTTCATTTCTCCAGTTCTTTTTCAGTCCACACTTTCCTTTGTTGATTTCTGCGTTGATAACAGGCCCATTTGTTCTGCAAGTCTCTTTAAGCCTGTATAATCTGCAGTGATATGAAACTGTGAACAAAGTCTGCTCTCTGCTGCTTGTTCAAACTAATATTAGAGGAGATGGTCTACATGCTGTCAGTCAGTTTTTTTTATTACTGTTTCAAAACAGAGTCCACTGGGTCAACAAAGCATTGGGCAGCCATGAGAAAGTGACTGGCACTGGTTAATGTTGGTTTTATTAAACTTACAGCAAGCAAAGGAAGAAGTGTCAGGGGTTTACATTGGTAGAAAACTTCTCAAATTCATTTTTGAGGATGAATATCTTCAACAGCTGCAGGTTGCATTATTGCAAAGATGGACAGAGACTGTGTGGACTGGTACTAAATGGCTATGCTGTCTGAAGCACATGTAACTGATGGGGTTTGACAGGCTTGGATTTTAGTGATTTTGTTCTTTATTGGGTTGGGATGAAAGGCTCCCTGAAGTGAAAAAACACTGCAGGGTTTTGCTACCCCAGATGTGAGTGGTTGCATTGCCAGCGTTTGGAAAATTGAAGCAAATGGGGTCATTATCATAATGCCGAGTATTATGCTGGTGAATCCACAAATATTTAAAAAACTATCTGTCCGACCAATAGCAGTTTTGTGAACGAGTTACGTCAGCCGGACCTGCGCGCTTCAGCCTTTGTGTAGGTGACTGAAACTGGAGTGAGCCCTGAAGACGATGGGAAACTCAGCAGGGACTTCCTCAGGGAGAGCAGGGGGTCTTCATTATGTGGCTCAATCTGATATCAGACATCTGACAGCATAACTACACCATTAGCAAGAGGTTAAAGGTCATGATTATAAAACATGGAATAAATTGGATCGCTCTGTTAGTTGCCATCTATATTTGGAGGTTTTAAAGGCTTTAAACTCTTCCACTGCAGCCCTTTCTGCTCTTTCTGCTGTCTTTTTTCACCCTGTGGATTTTGACCTAGCTATCACAGCACCTGTAAACAGGTGACATGTTTTCAAATGCATGTCACTGTCTGTTTATGCTTTGCTCTGTGTCACATGCCATGTTTTTCTGATTGGTTGTTAGTCTTTGCACTTGCTAACAGAGGCACCTCTGCATGCAGTTATTAAAAGACCCTGGCTGCAAAGATGCACTGAATTAAACAAATTCAGAACTGAGGTTGGGCAGTGTTGGGCAGTTTGTCATTTTTACACATTATTTTCGCTGCTGGTTTCATTTATGCATTTAAAGTTTCTTTTATTAAGCCACTTTGAAATATTTTTGTACCTCTTTAAAGCTCCTGTAGGGAACTTTTGATTTTTCTCAGTAAATCAATCTGTATACCTTATCCCAAACACGCTGAAATAGTAATTTTTGCAAAGCCCTTATCCTGCTAGCGTTAGACTGTCATATATAATTTGTTGTGACTATTTTATAGAGCAATTCTAAAAACATGGCTTTTTCTTCACACCTGCCTCGTTGCATCCCGTTCTAACGTTAAAAATAAAAATGTAAAAATTCCCACAAAAACTGCACATGGTCTTATTTGCTTTTGGATAACATGAAAAAACATATTTATGAGTCTCAGTCCATTTTATGGACAACCCCTTATAAGAGCTTCAATCCTTTTATTCAGCCCTTATTTTAAGTTTTGTTGTCTTTTCACTGGTGTGTCTGTCCTGTATTGGGGACTTTTATTTTGTGTAATATCGCTTTTGATGAATGGTTATCGAGATGATCGTTGTCATTACTCTCATTATTATAGCTAGTATAAAAACAGCAGTGTCACTCTCACCAGGGGCCTATTCTACGAAGCAGGATTACTGCTTAGCGAGGTAACTTTGAGGCTAAGTTTGGGGTTTCCTGTTCTATGACGCGGGTTCACTTCTTAGCGAGGCGAGTCTCCATGGCAATATACGCTGAACAGCTAACCTGCTCTGGGGCAGGTTAGGTTCCAGATTGAACTCACCGAGTATAAAAACCCCGCCCACTGACCAATGAGCTCTCTGAAAAAATGGCTTGTCCGTTCTTGGAGGATCCTATAGACCTCGGTGCTCGCATTGTCTGAGGAACACTCAGGCGCGCAAGAGTTTTCAGGGACCGCACGGACCCACTTACTTTTCCGGAATGTAAACACGATAGAAATGAACAAATGAATGAATTCATCTTAGAAATGAATTAGACATGTCTGGTGCATGTTAAAAGCGCATGTTGAACAGTGCTATTTCAGGGTGACAATGGCATCAAAGATTTTTTGTGCTCTATACTTCCGCATTGAGACTGTTGGCAATTTTCTGCCAGCATTCCTTCTGTGCTTTTGCAGCGTTGACGGTGTTGCTTTTGAGGTTTATGATAGACTTGAATTCTTCATACTTTCTCATGATCGTCTCCTGCTCCTCGTTTGTAAAGTACGCGGTCCTTCGCTCTCTGGCCTGCTCTGACGCTCCGGACTGGTCCATGTTCACGATTGGTCAGATTCCGCGGGCTCCGCCTTACATGTGTGCACGCACTCATAGCAAAGCTGGATCCACTTACAAGGTTGATAACCAGTGTCGTAAGACTGTTTAGCGAGACCGCTGGCTACCGCGCTAAGTTGAACGAAGTAGCTCCAAAGCTACCTCGCTAGGTTGAAGTTGCTTCGTAGAACAGGCCCCTGGGCTGCATTTTTCTCCTTCAAACATACTTAAAGTACTTAAAATGTTCATTTCTAAAGAATGTATTGATCTGCTAAGCGCATATATCTCCTACAGCTGTTTGGGGATATTTTCATGTCATGAACACAGCTTAAATTGACACACATGCTGCACATTTGTCCATGTACAATGTTGAGACTGGAGGGTGCAGGCCACACAGCTTTGACCTCGGCTTGTTGTATTTGGCCCGACGGTCAAATCCAGAGAATTTGTCAGATCTCCAGTGTTGTGAATGAAGATGATTACACACACAGCAGCCGGGGAATGTTTCCGTCCCTGCAGTGATATATATATTTTTTTGCAGTGTATGTGTTATTATGTGAGTGTGCAAGGACCTCACGCTGTTCGCAAGGCCTGTGCACATACATGTACACACTAGAGCCTGCATGATTGCTTAGTGTGTGTGTGTGTGTGTGTGTGTGTGAGAGAGAGAGAGAGAGTGTGTGTGTGAACAGTTGGGTTTGTGTTCATGCTCTCAGGGTGTAAGCCCTCTTAAGATAACTTATCTTCAGTACCCAGACACTGTAACACAGCACCAACACACAGTGGTTATCTCTGCCTTAGCAGACCCCAGGGAACTGGGGAGGGAGGGAGGGAGGGAGGGAGAGTAAGAGAGAAGAGCATAAGGACAGAGGAAGGCTGTGAAGGTGAAGAAGCAAAGGAGAAATCACAGGATTTTAACTCAACATCTCGAGCTGTGAATCGTCTGTGAATTACTATGCAGAAACACTCCAAAGATCTTTGGGTTTGGTTTTACAGCTCAAAAGAGGCATTAATATGAATTTAAGTCTGTTTCATGACACATGAGCCTTAACTAAAGATGACAAAATCCCTCTCCATCAGAGAACTGACACACAATGGCAGCTGAGACTGAGCGGCTGGGGTAAAGGTCGATGAGAATAAAGTTTCAGAGTTTTATATAAATGCTCCAGTTTCTCCAAAATCAGAGAAATAACATCCTTTTTGGTGCAAGTTGGTGAATGGTGTTGTTGCACACACACACACACACACAAGCAGGTTGATGTTGGTTTTAGTGTCTGATATTGCTGTGGATAGAGCCATGCCGCGTGCTGCGCCACTCCCATATTTTCATGTTTTTGAGATGTAGAGGAAGTGAACAGAATCACAGAAAAAGGAGGAGGAGGCTGCCACAGCGCTTTTTCTGAATTAGTTTTCAGTTTGTCACACACACCTTCAGAGACCCTCTGTCACAGTTTTACGGATCAGGCTCGTCTGTGTGATTGTTTCTTTAACTATTCAAAGCTGAAAATCTGACAGGGGTGAAGAAACAGGGTTCGGAGTTTCTGCTTGTACTGTCTTTTTTGTTCTCTGGCACACTTATTTTACCTTATTTTTGATGTGAACAACAACGAACAAAAAAAATAATAATAATTCTACCTCCTGTTTCCTGTCCTCCAGTTTTCTCTGGTCATTTGCTTTCACTCAAGCTTCAGCTCTAGCTCTTAGGAATAACACCTTCGATTTCTGTCATGGTCAGACAACAAGTCTTACAAACAAGCTCTGATCAAGCGTGAATGTTGTTGAGACAAGAATAGAGAGGTGGAAAATCCCTCCATTTAACATTTTAAAGTACAACAGTTCAGCCCTGTCACATCGATTTAACTCACTGAGGGTAAAAACTGAAAAACAAAGAAAACATAAATCTCAGATGTCTTCCAGGATGACACAGAGGCACTAAAGTAGACCCTGAATATCTCGAACTGTGCATAAAATCTTCAACTGACAGCTGAGAGTTTGAGAGGTCTGAGGGGTTTGTGATGGACAAAGCTTGAGATGGAACTGAGATGGACAGAGGAGAGACTGGTGTTTGGAGTTGAAGCAGCTGGAGAGCAGACAGGTCCATGTCAGACACTGAGATCCAGAGGAACCTACAGTGTGATGAGGCTCAGGGACTCCCAGTATGTATCAGTGACTCTGATGGGAAATGATGAGTCAAAGTGAAAAGGGGATGAAGAAGGAGGGAAGAATGCTCAGTGTGTCAGCACCATAGACTGCATATACTATGGACAACCTGGTTCCGCCTTCCGCCAGTATACAAATTTGAAGCTGCATTGCTCTCTGTATTTCCAGGATTTCCTCCACTTCCTGGAACCACCACTTGCGCAGCATTGTTATATGCATTTGATGGGAGAGTCACTGTGATGACGCTCTGCTCAAACAGCGTATCCCCCGGGTGAGCTATGCAATCTTCGAATGCCCATAGGCTGTATCAAATGTCAATCATAGAAATCATGAACCCCCTAATAACTTTTAAATATAGAGCAGCACAGAAAAAAGAGCACAAACCAGTCTCACAGTAACTACATGTCAACGTCACAACCAGGGGGGAGAAAAAAAAATTATTCTGTGTAATAAATTTCTAAAGTTTGTCCACAGCTCCATAGGGATTGCTGGAGGAGGCAGGGTTTATGACCTCTACTGCAGCTCATCACCAGAGGGTGCTGTTCTCACAGTGGCTTCACCCAGCGAAAAGGCAGACAGTGTCTATTCTATATACAGTCTATGGTCTACAGCAGCGTAACTAAGAGGTGGTCTTGACCGGAACCAGATCTAACTACCAGCTTTATCAAACAGGAACGTTTCAAGCTGACTCTCAAAGGAGGAGAGTGTGTCTGCGTCAGAAAGACAGATTTAAATTGAGGATTTTAAATCTGTTTGTGCTTTTAAACTGTTAATCAGAGTATAATAGACTACCAGTGGTAGGTAATGGAGCCCTGACAGTAGCCACTGACTGGAGCTGTAGTCACAAATAGTGGTGGGAGGCTGCGCTACAGTTCATACACAGCATATCACCAACATTTTGAGCCAACAATAATTTAATACCTGCAACTTCTTTACATGCAAGTGGTATGCCTACTGGTGATCAGGGTTGGGTATCGTTTGATTTTAAACGATTCCGATTACTCGTTTCGATTCCGATTCCTATTCCTATCGATTCTCTATTCCAATTCTTTAAAAGGCAGGATATTTTTTTAAAAAGTGCATGGTTTAAATGAGGGCGCTAACTGGAGTTCTTCTTTTTGGATGAAATTTCTGAACTTCTCAATGAATTTTTTAATTACATTAACTTTTTAAGAACTTAACTTAATTTCTCACAGGGCTATTTTCAACAAGTATATAAATATCAATTTTTGTTGTCAGGTCATTTGTCTATGAAAAAGTACAAGGGCTAACATTAGTTGGATATTTTAAGTTGACCCACCGTACACAGTACAATTTGTTTGACACTTCAAAGTTAGCAGAAGACAGAAGTAATTTATTGTTTCACTTATCTGATCCTGACTGGTTAGCGGAAGACGGGTGTTGTGCCGTAGAATGCACCCCTGCCGTAGAATGCATCACTTCCACTCATTAGCTTCTTAAAGTGGAAGAAAATGATCTCTTATTTAAAGAAAAAAACACGAGTATTAGATCATGACATGTCAAGTGGAGCAGCAAAATTTTGTTTTGTTTTTATGTGTCTCAAAAATGCACATATAGAGGTGTACTTGGATGTATAGACTGTATAGTAAGCTGTCAAGGTAGAGAACATTATATTTTTGTGACAGCAAATATTCCAAATCAGAGGGCTATTGTTTTTGGCCTATCTGAATAGCCTGAATGAAATCATTACAGGCAAATGCTTTTGAACCTTTCCAATGGAAAGGAAAACTTGGATTATTTCGCCTTGTTAAGTACTTTCAACCGCGCTCCCGTCTGAGGTGCATTCGACAGCAGGGTGCATTCTACGACACAACACCGGCGAAGCGCGTCAGAGACAGGCACTCGGGTATTTCTCCTTCTTGAATCCTGAGATGATTAATCATGTCGGTCCTTTATCCTCCTTTGCATGATATAACTGTGTTGCTAATGTTACACTGAGATAAGAGTTCATTCTTCCTGCTAAAGTTAGTTAAACTTTTGACCGCAGCCGCGGTGGGTTGCAATGTTTACTCTCTCTCTCTGTCTCTCTTCTCTCTCTCTGTTGCTTCGTCTCATATGCTTCGACCTCGTTGGTGTTCGGCGGCTTTTTCTTCGTTGGTGTTTAGCGGCATCTTCCTCATTGGTGTTCGGTGGCTATTTCTTCCGGTCGGCGGACTCTGGCATTGAAATTTGGAATCAAAATTTTAAAATTTGAATGATTCCGGGAGAATCGGAATGCTATTCCCGGTCCCGAACGATTCTCGAGACTCAATACCCAACCCGACTGGTGATAATATTAAAATGTATGGTCAACTAAACAAGCACATCTGCCCCCTCTACAATTATTCAGAGTCATCAAGAATGACTCAGGAGTTATAGACTAACTAACTTTCTCACATGTTACTGATTTACTGAGCGTATTAGGTAACCAGAGCCGGATTAACCATGAGGCATAGTGAGGCTGAAGCCTCAGGGCGTTTGGCTATGGGGGGCCACTCAGCCCGAGCAGAAGCCACTATGACGCTGATGAGCTGCGCCCGGTGTGAGGAGGATTAGGCTGTATTGAGACAGAAGAAAAAGTGCCTAGAAAGTGAATCTCGTTCCACTTCAGTGGGGCAACATAGACTGTTATTCATAAAAAAGCTCTATTGATAGTTAGTACTAAAAAAAAAATATCTACTCATGCCATCCTGTCGATTTTTAGTAATCAGTGTTTCGGTGTCGAACTATTTCCTTTCTGCGGCGCAGTGATACTTGCACAAGCGCAATCGAATATGCAGAGGGGTGAAGCGATTTTTGTCACGTGGACCAATAGGAGCCGAGTCTCGTTGCCATAGTATCAGAAATACACAAACATGGCGACGAGCGCGTCTACCAGCGAGACAAGCGAAGAGGAAGAAAAGAGAAGGAACAAAAGAAAACAGCTTTCAAAGGTGCATCAAAAAGGAACGAAATGATGCTATATGCATCTATCATCTGTCCAGAGTGAAGACGTTCTCGATTTTACAAGGACACGTTGGGAAACTTACAGAACTAGTATTAGAAAGTGGCTTTCTCTACAGGGTGAGACAAAAGAACAGCCAGAAATGTACATATATGTGAGTAACACAAAAAACGATTATATGGTGCTGCTGTTTTTGCTTGTAGAAACTGCTATGTTGATTCTGGCAAGACAAAATCTTTCTCAAATGTCATAAATACATCTACCCAACATCTGAAACAGTTATCGGTGCCTTAGTATACGCATAAGTGAATTCAGATTATGAAATGTAGCAAATTTCTTGAAGAAAACGTCTCAACTCAAGTGATTTGCACCCAGCACAATGAAATATACAGTAAATTTAGCTCAAAGCTTATGTTTCATACATAAAAATGACACAACCTACTGTGTAATAAAAGCAATCAAATATAAACAGCACATCATGGCCATAAATGGCTGAAAGTCAGTCAAATTGCTACCACGCTCCCCAAAATTGGAATAATGGAAAAAATGTAACAAGACAAAAATAAATGCACAAAAGGTCTGAATTAATTCAAAATATGGTATAAAACATTTATTCAAAACCTCTGACATTTATCAGTCCCTCCAGAATATGAAAATAAAGATCAAAACACAAACGCAGACAAATGTAGAACAAATATAAAAATAATAAAAATCTCAAATCTCAGTGTAGCAATCCTTTAAACAAAACAAATTGTATAACCATAACAGGCCTTCATATCATGCCTTGCACTTTTATTTATAATGATTGCTATATACTTATAATTTAAAATGCCTGAGGTTTTCTACAGTAAAAAAGTGAACTGTACACCAGCCTCTGTGCTTTCCTTGAAGACTTTTTTCACTACCTCTTGTTGAATTGAGTTCAGACACACAGTTGTATTAACCCAGTGGTTTGGCTAGAGGTGGTGGCTAGTGGAACCATTAAATAACCACCCATACCTGCAGTAATTTCCACAAAATGACCAAAAAAAACTGCCAATTTTTTTGCGCGCGCGGGACAGAGGGGGGCCATTAGGTTTGCTTAGCCTCAGGGGCCACAGAAGGTTTAATCCGGGCCTGTAGGTAACAGCGATGTGTTTGAGGTTTAGCTGCACCTGAGATGTTTCCATGCAATAGTTAAGATCAGGCTTATCCTGGTCTGAAAGGACAGGGACAGCCTGATGATTTCATACCTGCAAGATCAAAACAACTGCTAGAAAGTGACATTATTAAATCAACTTATACATCTATTTTGCACCTAGTCAAATGCTGCACAAGGAAGAGAAAGTCTGCATGAAAAGGAAAGCAGAATGACAGAATGATGTCCCTAAGAGAGCAGCAGAGGAGACAGAGAGAGCAAGAAGAGAAGGAGGGATGAGGGAATTTGATGATCCAAAAGAGAGCTGTAAATAAAAAAGGCGAGGAGATAAGGGTGATGAAAAAAGAGGGAGAGAGGAGGAAATGACGGCAGAGGAGTCAAAGAGGGACTGCCGGGAATTGAAATGTTAAAAGGCGAGAAGGGGGGAGGGTGATGTAAGAAGATGAGAGAGGGAGACGGGAGGAGAAGTACAGAAGAGGAGTGAAGGCAAGGAGGAGAGGAATGATGAGGAGTGAAGGAGGGAGGTCAAGGAGGGGTGGATGAAGAGGGGGGAAAGGAGGGAGAAAGACGGCAAAAAGAGATGATAAAAGATGATAAAAAGAGGAAGAGGAGCGTTGAAAGTTTGCAGCTGATGAAAGAGGAGAAGTTAAGAAATGAGTGACAGTGAACACTTTTTTGTTTATTACATTTAATCCCCAAAATTTTCATCATCTGTGGAGATAAAACCATGTAAGACTCAGAGCTCTGGAGTTTGATCTTTTCCATTGAAACGCTGTTGCACTAATATCCCCTCAGCATCTCCATGATGGAAAAATAATCGATTAGTGATGTTCTCAAGTATTCCAGCAAAGCTGCTTCTTCTGCATGTTTGAAGGACAGAATCACTTATTTTCATCACGAGTCATGACCTGAATAAACCTCACCATCTACTCTTGAACTACTTTCTAGATCACAGGAGCAGCAGACTTTCTTTTTGTTGAAGCGTGCAAAAGAGACTCTCTTCTGTGCAGCAGCTTATTACCATCTTTATTTACATTCATTATATGGCCGCAAACACTGAAGGCTTTATTAACTATGAAAGGAACAAAAGGCAAATCAGATACGGTTGTTAGGAGAGCATTAAAGTCCATTAGTGCCCATCAACAAAAACAGCGCTAACAAACAGAGCTGTAATCACCCTGGAGGCAATCCAAGCCTGCACATATTACTGTTTCAGTTATGCACGTTACATTACTTACAGCACATGTTACAGTAACTCACAGTCAATAAAATTACATGCATATTTATTCAAACTGAAACCACAGTTTTTCCAAATTTCAGTAATGCAAAATTCAGAGAATAACTTTCAAAATGTTTATTGAGGTCTTTTAGTGGGGAGAGAAAGAGATTTGAACTGTCCAGCAAGTCCAAAATGTGAACAGCTTTCCTTTGTGCTTCCTGTTTTTAACCATGTCAAGTTTCCAGCCATGCAGCTGCAGAGCCAAGCCTCTGGTCACTTCAAAAAGACATGCAAACAGTCAATATTTTCTATCATTCAGGTGTACAGAATTTAGACCTCGCTCTGTCATTCATTCATCTTTCTATTCATGATCTCATCCAAAGTTTTTCATGTCTTGCTCTTTAAAGCACTTACAAGTAATGAAAGAGTGTGCAGTTTTGCCAACAGTAAGGAAAGTAGCTATTGTCTATCCTATTAGTCTTTAGAAGTCCCTAAATGACGTCATCGCCTAATTTGCATAATTGGGAGGAAGAGGAACAACGTCGTGGGAGAGACAAAAAGTGAGTAAAAAATGCCCCAAATATGTTTAGAACTACAAATGAACTTTCCTCTGTCAATTCTTGTTTTTTTTTTTATGTCACAATACCAACCCTCCTCCTTTACCCAGGCAAAAATGACCCAGTTAAGACAATTTGGCGGAGTTATTGAAGTTTTTTTGTTTTTTTTTGGAAGTTTTTCAAATTTTGTTTGGTTTTAAATAACCAGCGGCGGCTTCACCCATGCGCGATTTATTTGCAGTAGTCTTGATGCGGAGGGGTGCTCACGTGTCCTCTGACTGCGGCTGGGAGGGACTCTGTGCTTATTCGAGAGAGTGTGGAGGACACCCTCCACAGCGCTTACCGCAACACTTGTGGAGGGGCTACCTCTTGTCGCCATTGTGTGGCATTGCTGTCTTTAGCCATCTCTTGATCTCTTTGACTACTTCACGAAAATTTTAACACGCCTCGCTGGTGGGGAATTTAAAGGTGAGGAGAGGAGCTGATTTGATTGGTGAAAACAGAACTCGGCTGTGTTAAATCCACTCCACGCCTTATCCCCTCCCTCTCTACTACTTACGTCGCTGGAAGAAGCTGAGTTAGGAAGGGGGGAGCTGTGCTGCTCACCAAAATACCAAAGTGTGCTTGGGCATGCCTCATTGGCGTGGCAGACCTGACTTATGCTGCACCTGCACCAGGCTGCACCGGCGAGGCATGAAAATAGAGCACAATATGCTCTGGCTAGGATCAGGAGCCCTCAACGTGCATTTGGCCTTTTTTCCCCTTTTAAATCCTGCAGCTTATCCTGCATTTCACCAATCTGCAGGGGAGGAGGTCACTGAATGCCTGGAGGGACCTAAGTTCACAGGAGCTGCGTGCCTACCTGGGGCTGGTGATTTTTGGCTGACTTGTTCAAGTCACAGCATGAATCAGTCAGAAGCTTGTGGGACAAGGAAACTGGACACGCCATTTTTGCTGCAACTATGTGAGAAAAAAGATTCTGCAGATCAACCTGGCCCTGCGGTTTGATGATGAACTGTTGTGGCCAGAACACCACATAGGGGTAAGTGGGCCCCGATGGAGCAGCCGATTCCCCAAGATGTTCAACCCAGGAAGGGACATCTGTATGAATGAACAGCTGGTTCCTTTTAGGGTACGCTGTTCATTCAGGCATTACATGCCCTCCAAACCTGGAAAGTATGGCCTTAAGATTTGGGCTCTGTGTGATGTTAAGACCTCCTATGCATGTAGGCTCCAAGTCTACTTGGGGAGGTCTGTCTCAGCACCAGTTGAGCACAACCAGGGCATGCGCGTTGTACTGGAGCTCACAGATGAGCTTGGGGGCCACACTGTAACTACAGACAACTTTTTTTTACATTTTTTCCTCTTGCTGAAGAGCTGCAGAAGAGGAAGATGGCCCTGATTGGGACACTGAGGTCAAACAAACCTGAGCTCCCTCTGCAGCTGCTCAACACTAAACATAGAGAGGTGCTTTCCTCTGAGTTTGTCTTTATGCACAACAAGACCACTGTGACCTATGTCCTGAAGAAAAGGAAAAATGTCCTTCTTTTGAGCACAAGACATAGGGAGCTAGAGGTCCAGGCATCTGGGAAAAAATAAATAAATAAAACGATCATCCTGGACTACAATAGAGGCAAAGGGACTGTCGACCACCTAGACCAGGTAACTACACATCACTCATTTATTTCACTTACTGGTATTTAGTTACTCATTACACATGGTTGTGTAATAAATTCATCTGATTGTTAGCTTTTTTTCCGCAGGCTTCTGGCACCTACTCCTGCCACAGGCGGACACACTGCTGGCTCATGTGTCTGTTTTTTCACTTGGTTGTTGTGTCGTGCTTCAATGCTATGCTTCCTGTTCACCTTTGTTGACCCAAGCTGGAACAGTGGCTAGAGCTTCAAGTGCCATCTCTTCCTGCGGCAGCTTGGCAGACCTCTCATAACCCTGGCCATTGCAAACAGGAGCCATTTGCCCAGAGGACCATTTGCAGCCAGCCTCGTCCTCCAAGCCCAGGGCCAGGTCCATCAGGAGGAAGGCAAGGAAAAGCAGAGAGAAGAGGAGGAAAGGGTGAAGGAAACACAGCCAGGACTCTCCAGAAAGCGGAAGGCATGTTCATTGTGCCCAAATCCCAAAAGAATGTGGAACCATCGCATCAAATGTGGGGGACATGTATGTAAGAAGCACCATGCAGTTACCTGTCATTCTTGTCTCCAGTAGGTGTAAACATTTACATTGTCAAAACACATAAACACACATACATGCACACATGCGCGCACACACGCAGAAACATAAACATGACAACACATACCGTCTGTTGACAAAAAGGCATACACACATAACGTCACGTCATGTTGTGTTATGAATGTTCTGAAATTTTGTATGTTATGTTATGTATAATAAAATTTATTCTGAAGTTCTTAAAAATATCTGATGCATTAAAGTAATATAATACACACACACAAATATATATATATATATATATATATATATATATATATATACTTCTGAGACCCAGCCTATTCATTTATGTCCTCTGTAGTGCACATTTGTTCTTGGCGTATATCTTTTGACTCATTTAAGCTACCCTACCAAGTCCTGGTGTGCTTAATAGGGGACATCCTGGCCTTTCCAATGATATCTCATGTGTTTGAGTGGGATGAGCAGAACTTTGGTTTCTTGCTAAGACAAAATGGTAACTGCAGCAAAATGCAGCTTTGAGCAAAAGAGAAAAGATAGGCCAAATTTAGCTATAATATTGATTATTTACCAACAAAAAATCATATATTTTCTTGTTTGTGAACATCTTAAGAATTCTAAATTCAAGTCAGAGTTCAGTTAAACTTGTTGTTGGGAAAAAAACAGCCCATTTATAAATGTCAACTGTAATGGACATTAGGACAATTTTAATTGATATAGCTAATAGATAGTTAGCTTGCTGGTCCTTTGTTTAGTCCTCTGTTTTGAGGTGTTGACCTCTGCGACTGCATGTTAAGCTTCTACTGATGATTCATTTCTTTTATGTTGCTATCACAAACTCCTGGATTCAGTTTAGGTCTGACAGCAGAGTGCTAAACTGCTCAGCTAAAGACACTGAATAGTTCCTGGACTTGAATCTTTCTGTCTTGCAGCAAAGAGAGAGGAGCTGTCCACCACCATTGGCCCTTTGGTCCATCAAGGTGTTATGACGTGGATGATCCATGTTCTTTAGAATAGTCTCCACTTTCCTAGATACAGGAATACCTAGACATTTATATGATGTCACCACTTCGATGTCCACTCCACAGGTGTTCACTGGCTGAAGAGGGGGTTTGGATCTACGGAAGTCTATGACCATCTCTTTTGTCTTTGAGGTGTTGAGGAGGAGGCAATTTTTGTGACTGCGGAGGTGCCTGAACCAAAGATTGCAAAGGCAAAACATACATGCAATGCATCCATTGCAAGATATTTCTCTGTATTACGAAGAAGAGACACTGCCTCCTGGAGTACCATAGCTAAAAATGTAATAAATGAAGAAAAGAGGGGGAGCTAGCACATTCAAATCTGTGCTGCCTTGGCCTCCTGATTTTTAAGAGGACCCGAATGCCTGTGAAAACTCAAGTCAAATTCAATACATTCCCTAGTACAGTGATGACAGTCAATACAGAAATTCTGTTCAGTGGTTCAACAAAAGATTCAGGTCAAATGTTCAGCATAATTTAGAGTTTAATCAGAAAAATAATGTTTTGATCACTGTTTTTTGCAGTAAAAACGTCTTGTTGTCCACTACAGTGGACATGCTGAAATAAAAATATATTTATAAATCTAAATCTAAATTTATGATATAGATTATAAATCTAAATTTATGATATAGATTATAAATCTAAATTGTATATATATATGTGTGTGTGTGTGTGTGTGTGTAACATTTTATTACACTTTTATTAGACAGGCCATTTGTGTACACAAGGTTAAAGAGTGTAGTAAATTTTAAGGTATGCAGAAGGGTGAGGCTTACATAACATTATATTTAAAAAAACACAAGAACACTTAGAGTTAAAGGACCTGGTTACCTTTGGCTTTCTTTTAAGACATAAACTCAAAGTTGACAGTCGTACTCCCTTTGTTCACACTAATTTAAAATCATGGCTAAAGTTGTTGAACTTATTTTTATTTAATTTCTACAACAACCACACAACCAACATCATCCTGTCCTGAGAGAAAAACCGTCACGCCAGAGTCCGAAGAAAAGTGGATTTTTTAAGACAAAAAAGGAGCTGTGCAGATGTATGTCTCATGCAAAACTCAGTCAGCCTACATGGAAAACTCTGACTGGGGAATTCATACACACCAGGATCTGGCCCATGAAGAGAAATTCAGACATTTATAAAGAACTATCTTCATATTTTGATTTCTGCATCATTCCTTAAGTTGAGTTTTAGACTGCAAAACTGCTGCACAGTTATCAGGCAAATATACCCAATCAAAGAGGATGCATAAAAAGAAACTTATGTTCACAAATGACAGGCTTAATGTGCTATTTATAAGATATCCAACAGTAAAGTCTTGTCTTTTTAGGAATGTTTTCTATCATGCTCTGAAAAAAAAGAAAACATAAAGTGTTGAAATTGCTCTCTTCAGAAACACTCATATCACCTTGCAGAACACAGGAGCTGCATGTCTCACTTTGTCTGCAGCTCCTTGGCATTGTTTTTAAACTCCTACCTGTATGTGAAGGACTTCTCCCATATGAGCTATAGGCCTTGAATGCACAGAGTACCTGCAGCCTTTCAGAGACAGATACAAACAGAGATGGGAATCGAAAGAGACAGATAGAGAGGTGAGATCAGGGGTCCATACAGAGCAGAGCTGCCGCTCTTCCCCTGTGCTCCTAATGAACCCCTGTAGTACTGGAGGCCTGAACACTAGCAGCAGCAGCCCACGCTGACATGATTTCCCCATTAGTTCAAAACCAGCAGATGTGTTCAGTTTGGCTCTGACACAGACTGCAGGGTAAAGCTTAATGCATTACATGGGATGCAGTACAGGATGCCGGGTTTTCACATAGAAGTCACGCTGAGCCAGATTTGAGACACACATAGATGAACATCAGACCACAGATCCAGTTCCTGAGAGGTCACATGAAGGATCAGTTTTTTTTGTGTTTTTTTTTTTTTTGTCACACATTATTAATGACTGAGAAGGTCAGAGTGTAAACTATTTCAGGCTGTCAGTCCTGCATATTCTCCCCCTCTATTCTTTTCATCTTTACTGCTAAACATGCACGGACAGACCCTTCATCAATTGTACATGTAAAACATCCTCTTAGTGGGTCAGATAGAAACAGCAATCTGGAGGCACTGCTGCCACATGTTTTATTTAGTTGATTGTGCAAGTTCCTTTCACTAGTTAGTTTGGTTTGTAGAAAGCACCAGTAAATACACCCTTTAGAGTTTTATGGCCCGTTTTTATCCTGCCATCATTGGTATGTGTGTTTTGACTTTTCTCAAAGTGGTGATCATGAATCATTAACTACAGGAGAGAGGGAGAAAACAGTGATAATCAGCTCATTACTCCACCCAAGATGAAACAAACAAACCAATAACCTTATCTGGGGATGCTTCAGAGGGGTTATCAGTCTGCTTAAAAGGAGGCTTTGACCAATTAGACCGCCTCACTCGGCCCGTTTGATGTGTAAATCAGATTTAACGGCAAAGTAAATGAATGAATTGCCAGCAGAAATATCCTTGTGGTTTCAAACAGCTTGCTCTCATGAATGAGTAGCTGAGGACATCAGGGAGAGTGTGGTTTATAACTGGTTTAGCTTATGAATACATAACAAGGCTGTGGTGGTCTAAATGTGTTTGTCGTGCAGGACAGCTTGTGGTTTAAGGTCTCACAGTCTAACAAAGCTGCAGTGCACAAAAGGAGGATTCATTAAAATTTATTTCAAAGAGGGGGGCCTCTTGTAAGAAGTTGTGACCTAACAAGGAAACTCTTGTATCATTAAAACTGGACCGTTTTTATATTTGAGGGCCAAAATGAGTAATAGACACAGAAGCATGAACCGTTGAACCGGTAGGGCCGGTATGTTCCAGGCCTGACCAAAAAAAGACCAAAGAAATAAAAACAAAGAAAAAAAATAAACATAAAAAAGGTAAATAAAACAAGTAGGCATGCTGTGTGGTGCCCCATCCACAAACTATCAGAAAGCATTCAACAGTATTTCCTAAAATAGAAGGCTGATTGTCTCACATGATGTGTACCCTATTATGTGAACCTAATGTGAAAGTTTACGATCACAACTTCAGATGCTGCCTGGCATAATTCAGACACCTGCAAATGAAGCGCTTGCTGTGTCATCTGTTGCAGCAGCAATGAATGCCAACTCTGTGACAAAAGCTCTTTTACCAGAGGTGCACAAGTTCATAAAACTGTTCTGCACCATTTTGATGCCAGTGCTGACAGGTCTTTCTCATCCCTCCTCATTTGAAAACCCAAGGTCCATGATGACACAGAAGAGACTGAATAATTTGATGTGTGCTCATATACATAAGGATGTGTTGCCGACATTGTATGTTATGGAGATTGCCAGAAACCTCTCCAGGCTTGACAAGCGAAGAAGGCTTTTCCTTGGCAGCAATTAAGAAGCAGTGGTGAGTTGAACATTCATCGTACATGTTATTTTATGAATCCACTTATGTCTTTATCTTCTAGAAGTAGGGTTTCTGCAACACTGTAAAGACAGTGGCCCTCATTTATCAAGCTGGCGTACGGCAGAAAACTGGCGTACAACAATTTTGACGTGAGGATCGGCATTTATCAATCTGCACGTGAGTGTACGCTATGGCCAAATCTCACGACAGGTCTGACATCGTGTACGCAAGTTTGAGTCAGTGTGGATCTGCAGTGCAGCAAATGTCTGTTTGAAAATAATTGATAAACAAACCTCAAACCTGTCACCAAGCACAATCAGCCAGATTTCATTAAAGATTAAGACGTAGATAAAATAAAATGAATTTGTTATGTCCTTAGTGAATAGGCCTATTTGATAACTCTGCCCAAAAACACTGCCACAGAGCAGGAGTGCTGTTTTAACATTGCGTGCACACGCGCCACTGTGGAGCGCTGCGTTTGACTCCTAAAAGGCAGGTGTCTCTGTCTTGGCC